CATACGCGACATTCAATACATGTTACTCAATTTTAATAAAGGTGAATGTTGTGAAATAATCAAGTAACCTGCACCAGTTCTGGTTTTTCTTTACAAAAACAAGTTGAAATGTGTATAGACAAATTCCATATAAATACTCGAATTTTGGAATTAATTTGTGAGAAATTCACCAATTACTTGATGAAATTTTAAACTAATAGAATACTACTTTATCTTTGTGAAAGCTTGTATTTGACATTAGATATCCAACTGTCTATAATATTAATATCTAATAGCGTTCATGAATCGAATCGAGCAAACACCATTTTATGTTTCTCTACTGTAGTTCAAGCATGTATTATGAACATAGAATAAGATATATGTACAATTACGACAGGAAGAAATATATTTTTGAATATGTAGCTGAACATTATGTGAAATCAATTACATCATTTGAAGCATGCATTATAAACAACATAGCATGAGATAATAAATCTCTTCATAGCTAGCAAACAAAATTAAATTTATTCAAGTTCGAAAACAATCATACCAAAGGATTGTTTTATGTTTAGAACACGATCATAGTAATTAGAATATTCTGATGCTTTATGACAAGTTTTAAATATCGTGAAAACAGAAATATTCAAAAGTGAACATGTGATTTAGAAAGAAGATTAAACGCTTTGCAGTCTTTTAGGTTAAGATCAAAGTGTAGTATCTGTTCTGGGTGTGGGTGTCAGCGTGTGTGTTCTCTAAGTTCAAACCCATATCCACACATACCCACACGCATACGCACACCTACACATCACCACGTGCCTTCACAGAGCTTTAGCTATTTGTGTCGATTGTATTATTCGTTTGCAATCTCTTTTTCTTTCTTCTGTTCTCATCACATTATCAAAGGGCACACTGTATCATGTGCGCTTATAAGATAGACTGGAGAAAAAGCTTCTTTTTTTGTGTTTGAGCCCGTGTGGCAAACACGACGCACTCTTATCAATAACTCGTTAATACCTGGTGAAAACAACTTTCAGCACATCAACATCCGTTTGCAGATATCATGTCACATAAACAACTGCTCCATACCCTGCTAGACCATGGTGTCAATCTTGCTTATCGACTTTCGCATCCTATCGACGAATCATTACCAACTATTGTTATGTTCCACGCATTTCTGATGGATTCACGGTTCTTCGATCGTCAATTTAAGGACCTTCGATATTCACCCTATAATCTAATATCGATTGATGCACATGATCACGGAGAAACAACAGGTCGCGACGAAGAGTTTACCTTCTGGGACACTGCCTCAGATTCACTACAACTTCTCACTAAACTTGGTCTTGATCAATTCTATGTACTCGGAACTACGCAAGAAGGTTAGTATAGTATTACGAATTGCTTTACTCGAACCTCAACGAGTCAAAGGATTAATTTTGCTCGAAAGGCCCGCGATAAATGGTGTGAGACAAAGATTCCTCCGGACGAAGCAATACTTGCTAGAGCAGCATCTTTCGGTGGTCCTACACGTGTAAACGAAAAAGTCTACGAAAAAATTAAATAAATATGGATTAAACGACATGCTAGCCCCAAAGGTTATGATCCAGCACTCAATTGTCTTTTTAACCGCGATGCAACCGATGATAAACTTGATGAAATCAACATTCCAGCATTGGTTCTGCACGGAGCGGATGATCGTATGTTCCCAGCACAAGATGCAAAAGAATGGAGTTCAAAACTACCTAAACTATGGAAATTTGAGATTGTAGAAAGAGGTGTTCACCAGCTTTCACTAACAGAACCTGGTGATGAAGTTGTTGCTCAGTTAATTCCACAATTCATAAAAGAAACATTGTAGAAGTATGTGTAACCAATGAAAAACACTATATCTATTTCAAATGTTCATTCGTAATCTTCAGTCCCTAGATACTTTTTCACACATGTGATTATTAATTTCCAATAAAAAAATATATCCATAAATACTTTCTGTAAATGTTGTCATCAACATTGTTCACTGTAAAGTTTATTTCAACGATAAAGTCATCATGAAATTCGAAAAACATCATGTCTGTATCAAAGGAAATTCATATTCTTCATATTCTTTGAATTTTTCATTTCTCACTAAATAAATTATGCTGCGACCAATGAAGAGACTGGATCGCTTTTTATTGTCAAAATAATCCATGCTAATTCATTATATCATTGATTAATCAATACAGGATGGGTGTGGGTGTGGACAGAAGTGAAGAGAAGACTCACACCCACACCCAAAAATGACAAAATTTCTGCAAATCTTTTTACAATCTCACGGCAAACCATGATAGAAAAGAAATTTCAGCAACTACATGGTAATTATGATAAACTATATTCTACCTCGTGAAGGAGTTGAGAATATCAATGTACATGATGAAAACATATACGTAGTCAATTACATCGTATTAAAAGGAAAGTTACAGCTATGCAATGAGTTGCTTGCCTATTTCGAATTTTTCATAGATTCTAAAAAGTCTATTCAACTTGACTGAACACAAATTGTGACAATAAAGCTAATGGGTTATATATTCTTTGTACATATGTAAATAATTTTCATAGATCGAAATATTGTAATAATTTTTTTATAATGTTCAGCAAATATGAGTTTATTTTATCACGAATAATACTGGATATCGAAGTATTTCTCAATGATTAGCATCAGACTTCATTTATATGGAACATTTATTGCTAAATTTCAACTTCGACGATACATGACATTGTTTTTTGGTTTTGTATGGTAGCGAACAATTATTCTTGTTAATCTCTTCAAAAATTTAGAATATCATTTTAATAAAATTGATAGGGAATAAAATATTTGATCAGTAAAATAGATGAAATAGTAGTCTATCATGCGTTCGGCTAAAAATTTCCGAATTGATATGACGCCTTTTATAGATTTCCTGGAATTGCATTTAATCACTGAAATTAGATATATAAGAAATATTGGAAGTTATATCTTAGAAATAGATATAGGAAAAGAATAAAGATTTGGACAAACACACATGGAATCTCTCACTGACCTTCATCAATACGAAATCGAATGAAATTCGTGCAATTCAAAGCATACTACAACTGTTTATGGTCAGAAGAAACTATGAAATTCTTCAGGTGTCATGCTTAAGATAAGTGAGTTAAAAATCTGATAAAAAATGCAGCATTATCGACACCATTTTCAATAATATGAATCGATATTTTCGAGCAGTACAAGTTACGAAATTTTAAGATTTTTGACTCAATACAAAATGATACTTGTAATACAATCGGTTCTAACCATGAGTAGCAATGAAAAATTAGGCAAATGATCAAGTCTAAGTTTTTGGTGAATATATTATTTTTGTACTACAATTTCTAGTCATATTTGTGCAGTGGTCAACGAAAAAAACGCTTGGTTTTACTGATTTACGTTCTCGTGTGGAATTCTAAAGATATCTTAACAAATTATATTGAAGTTGCTATTTTTCAAAGAAAATCTTCGTGATAATTTACTCTTAATATTTATCATTAAAATGTCTAACTGTTATTCAAATCTCAATTCATGATTAAATATTATAATAATTTTTTCCTACATTGCACATTGGCAAAAGAATAACGCTGATACTTTTATTTTTCACTATTCTTTCTCAGTATCGAATATCACATATAAAATCATTGGAAGTTGCACGACGAAAAATGTTTTGCATATAAAAAGAAAACAGTAAATAATTTACACAAGTGAAAAGAAAAAAAGCAGAAATAAAATCAAGGTCATGAGTGATAGAAAAACACGCAGGAAAAAAGGACGAATTTATCATCAAAGAATATCACTTTGATGGAATGTATAAGAATAGAATACAAATGTACATAGGGAGAAGAACAATTATGAGACATTGATTAAAAAAAATTTTATTCAACAATAAGTTCAAAATGAACACTACCACGTATAAATTCTAAACTATCATTATGATCAATATTTCTTGCATAAGCTCGACATTCAACATTAATTAAAACATTTGTTTCAATTTTTTTAAAATGAACAAAAACTAATGGACTTCGATAACCATCTTGATTAACAAATGGAAAAAAATTTCAATGAAATCCACCTATTTTAGTTGTATTCATTTGTGAAAAATATTCTATTTCATATATGAAATCTCTATCAACATCATTTTCACCATTACATTCAACTAATACATAATCAGAAAATTCACTTTCCCATATAGTTATAAAAATTGAAAAAAAAAGAATATTTTATTGAAAATGATATTCTAATATTCATTTAACCTTTAAATTGTTCAGGTACTTCAGCAGCATTTTGATATGTAATTGGTTCCCAATCATAAATTTTATTAAGTTTTAAAAGAGCACATATGGACGACCAATATTATATTCAAAATTTCTTTGTGTAACACATGGTATTTGACGATTTCGAAACATATTTATATCAAAACGACATGATTTACCTTCATAAAATTGTGGACGAAGTTTATCTATTGAAATACCATTACAATCAATTGCTCGTTGATATCAAATATCAGCTTCTGTATAATAAGCTAAAAATTCATCTAATTGTTCTTTATATTCACCCCAATCATGACGATAATCAAATGTATCACGATGAGATGAACGATATTTTATTAATGCTTTTTGTACACTTATTTGAGGACGAAAACCAAGACCTTAATATATCAAAATATTCTTTTGTTTTATTTTACAAGAAAAATGTCTTTATTGTTATATATTACCAGGATTTGGTCGAGATGTATCTAAAGCAATAGCACTTGAATTTCCTCTATAGGGTGGTATACGTTTATCAATAATAGCCATAAAAATTCCAACAAATGATGCACATATAACAGCCATAAACATAAACCATAAAAAATAGCAAAGAGTTATTTTAGCCCATGATAAACCATCTCTTCCACAAACTCCCCGATATTTTGGATTATAACACGAAACACGACAATTATGGCATCGTTCATCCCATGTCAATTCATCATCTTTAACAATGATTTCTTCTTTAGTTAGTGCCAATTTATCTGACATTGAAAATGGATAAGATTTTACAGATGCTGACATATATGCTGGATCAGTTGCCATGTTTCAGATTCAACAAATAGTTTTATTGAAGATAAATAAGCAATAAAAAGAAAAAGGAGTGAATCAATTGTTTATTCTAATCAGCACGCCATTATCATAGTCACAAGAACTCAAAAATTAGATGAAAACGTATTTGCTTACCGTTATTGGCATCTAATGCACAAATATATAGACCAAGGATCGAAATTGGGACCATTTTCGCTCACTGGCTCACCCCCGTCTTGTCTTCACAAATTATGTTTATCATTTTGGTGCGGAGTTTACGTTCGAATATGTGTGTATCGGTGAAGAGAAGACATCTGCACCCAAATATTTTCTGCGATCGGCTGTCCATTCGCCCTATGTGTTACTTCGTTGCTAAAATAGTCTGGTAGCGCAAAGTCTAGAGGCTAGTGAAGATATTTTTTTCTACGTTCGATTCTGACTCCAAATTGTTTTAAAATGACACCGACATTTTTTCTTGTCGATTGACGATAGCTTACTTGTGGGACGATATTATACAATGCGAAAGAATATATATGTGAGTGCTAGACAGAAACGAAAAACTGATTGTATCTCAAGTCTTTTTGTCGATTACAGATACTCGTAATGAGTGTTAAGTTCTCGTTACGGTGAGAAATTCTGCATATAACTAAAACAAGAAGGTGATTTTGTTAAGCTGGTACCGAAAAATACCAAATACAGATGAAGTTCGGAATAGTTTCTTTCAAGTTTTCGTCAACAACGACTTTTTAAGAAAAACTTCGTTCTATTGAAAAAAAATTTTGTCGAACCAAGAAGAAGCTAACAGAAAGATCAAGTTTTAATCCAGTTGTAATTATGTCAGAACATTGAAATGAAAGAGTGATGTACCGAACACGATGAGTAGACGGTTTCGCTATTATTGCAACACGTATTTTATTGCTGATCAATCTTCAGAAACTGGAGTACTAGCGTTGTCGCTATTCTCGATATACGATAGTCACTACACTACTTTACCACTCCGGTTCTATCCATTTCATATAGAACACGAGCTGATATACGAGAGAGAGAGGAAAACAACGAGAAGAGAGGAGAGAATGAATAGACGATAGAGTGAATGGACAGTTACTATCGGTCATGAAGTCAGAACGTCTGACCGTATAGTGACCGAATACTCACCCATCAATAAACCAATAGGAGATGCACATACATTGTGACCTTATTATCGGCACAAGTGGAAATATTGAGTGGTGCTGATTTTTCTTTTCCGAAGAGTCACTTTTGAAAGCTGATTTAGTGTAGATGTCTTTTGTTCTATTTGTGTATTTGATGTTATTTTGCTATTGGATTGACCATTTTCGTTAACTAAGAGTTACAATTGTCAGAAGAAAAAGTATTATATATGAAAAAAGAATAAAATGGTTTTTTTGGAGCTCTTTTAAATACATCAACTTCGTCTCCGATTGAGTCGTAGTCATGTTTTGAAGTTCGATGCTAATGTCTAGCAGAGACGTCTGTGATATTGATTTATATTAATTGACGAGTTCATGTCTTTAATATCAACTTTTTAACAATGGAACCCAAAGATGATGAAATACGTCAGGGGTGTAACTTATTCCAGTCCTGTTTCGGTCTTTGATATAGACAAGAAGAAGCGCAAATAACAGCATTGCTAGTGTTTATCACCTGATGCCAGGTTTACAAGAAATTCATTTCGATGCAGTTTGATGATTGATTTTCAGTCCTAAGTCAATCTTTCGTTTTTCCAAGAGACAATCTATATTTTCATGTTTTTGATCTGTTGTACAGTATACATTGTTTGTATCACGTTATTCTTTTGTTTTTAGATTAAATTTTATTGTATGCAATAACCGATTGTTGTTTTATATGAGATTTCTACGTAAGTCAAAATTTGAGCTCATGATATTCATATTTTAAGCTATCTTTAACAGGTTTTCTTGGGTGTGGGGTGTGCGTGTGCGTCTGGGTGTAGATGATTAGTTCCTACCCATACCCTCTTGATACAGGTTAAAGAATTGTATTTCTTGAACTTGTAACTAATCGCATGGAGCAATCTTCTTTGTGTGGGTGTGGATGAGAAAAAAATATACACCCACACCTTTATAATTTAAAGTCCGCAACAAAATGCAACTATATCAAAATTGTATCAATATACGTAGAAAATATATCTCTTAGTCTTTTTATAGTTCCCTACAATTATATATTCAGACGTTAGAGGCAACATTTTAATGACTGTTCTTATTAATTATATAACAAAATCAAGTAATAAAAATAGCTTGAATTGAATCTATGTGTAAAATACAGAAGGCTCAGCATATTAATGAAATAATTGCTGCTCATAATGAATATCTAGATCGAACCATGTTGAAGTAAATTTCTTCTTCTTTTAGAAAAAATGAAAATTATATTATTTTTTGCCAGTTGTCTGCTTGGTTCGAAAGCAGCTCTAATTTTCAATAAAGTGAACCTTGCTGTAACATTATAAGTTTTATCAAAGCTGGTTACAAAAGGATATAAAACATCATTATCTGATTTACTTATACGACTTAATCATAGAGTACTTTTCTTATTGTGTCAGCTTTTTGTAAGTCGTAAATCTTCATTCAAAATAAATAAAAAAAAAAAAAAAGAAAGCATAAATTCTAATCTATTGTACATAATCAGCATAAAGCAGTCCAATTGTAAGCATCATGAAGAAAATGATCATAGTTGGTTTTGTGATCGATGTTGTTGATCGAAAGAATTTATCAAAGTCAAATTTAGTAATTAATGTATTTTTGATTCGTCCGATATTTTCTATTGAATTACAAGCACCATATTTTCGGCATGCTAATGTTATTCTATCCAATTGAGTTTGATTATTAAGAAAATATGTTGTATAATAATCAAAAAAGTTTGTTACAGCTTTTCCAGGTGGACACATTGCACATATATCTGTTTGTTCAGAATATTGAATAATACTTATACATTGTTGACAACTAAGTATATTAGTGTTAGGACAATATGTCATATTTGAAACTTGTAAACATAAACCACCATAAAATTCTGTTGTTGGAACAATTAATGAATCAAATTTTTGTATTTGTTCATCAGTAGGCAACACTGTTGAGATAATAGCAAGTTTTAAATTGTCAACAGTGTTACATGGAGTTGTATTTGAAGGTTTACAATTGTAAGCAATAAATCTGTTAGTTACATATTCACCAGACCATGTAGTTACTTTACGTTCTGTTTTTGCTACAACACTATCAAATGGTAAATCTGGATCTGCATCATAATATACTTCACTCGTACCATCATTGAGCCATCCAACACGTACAGAACAACCATTTTCAGCTGTTACTAGTTCACAATCATCTCTAGTTGGAGATGGAATATTATCAAATGTAATTGAGTAGTTAAAAACCATTCCTTTACATTCATGACATTTATATGCTAGAAGATATTTTGCATGACTGATTAAGAATAATCCAAAATAATAATAGAAATAGCAATAATTGAATAATATCATTATTAACAATGCATATATCTGAAACGATATGTGTTTGAAACAGATAAAAGGATATGTCTATCATCTACTTGTCTTCTTTAAACAACAAAAGAAAAAACACAGAAGTTATATCTTGTTGCCTCATAGGAGCTAAAGAAACAATTCAAACTTATCTCAGTCTATAACGTGCATAGTGATGAATGGGACTAATCAAAGAAAATTGTTGGTATTGGCTTCACGCTGAGTAATACATTTAATCGCGAAGAAAGGTGATAACATTTTCGATCAGTGTAAATGAGTTACAGCATATACTGAAGTGATCGTTAATCAATAATTTTTGCATAAACTTGTAGAATTGATGAGCCATGAGAATATGACATTTCACGCAAGGCTTACAGGACGATAAAAGTTACATCCTTGAAATGATAATGAATTTTTTTCATGTAATCTACGACCAAGTTCTTAGAAATGTCTCATGTAAATTCTTAACAAACTAAACAATATCTTATATATGGGATAATCTATAATACGAACAAGCAAAACAACAAATGGACTGTACTCTTTCCTAGGCATAAAACAGACAAAATAACGCTTGGTATCTCATGTCATACTTGGGAATAGGAAATACATATAACAAGATAGAAGAAAAATATGCAATAGACACGACCTAAAAATAGAAGGGTAAATGTATCATGGCCATTGAATACTTTTCTTCGAATATATCACATTCTTTTGAGACAGATTCTACTATTTCTGACATTTGGATTGTTTCAATTTAAAAAATGATTTTTTTTTTAATTATTTGATCTAGATTTAATGTGTCATTTTCTCACACAAGTTGTCTCTTATTTTCACTGGTTATTCATATTTTTTTATATAGAAAACGATAGAAACAGGATAGTGTCACCGTTATTATCAACCAGAACCGTTCATTTTCTGAGTTTTATGTACACTTGCGGTTTTAATGGAAAAATCAGATTATATTTGTCTTAGTGTACAAATTGATTAAGATTTTAGATATAAACATTGTATTTTCTTTTCTCATACAAATAAGAATATCGATCCCATTAGCATATCTATTGAATACCACTCACTCGAATATATTTGTAAACTAGGTTTCAAGTGCTTGATAAGTTCCTTACTTAGTGAATATCAATAAAACATATCACAATGGTATTATCAAGAAATTTCATTTTCATAAGAAAATTGTCAGAAGGACATGATTATAATAAATACAAAAGGAAATTATATAATTTAATATTAAGACTAACTTTGCAATTCATTGCTGACGATTCCCATCCTTATGACTGTCGATCATCATTCCAAAATATGGTCAACTATGTATATATATGTCATCCATGAAAACTATTGTTTCGATATTGGCTTTCATATTTCGCACTTTATGACCATGTTGAAATGCTGATCTCAGCTTTTTTCACCAACTGCAAAATCTTGAATATATTATCTGATCATGTATATTTACCATTTTCGTGTCTCATTGTTTCGGAAATCGACTCCCATACATATT